AATTGTAATGTGTCCTATTTGGACGGCGAAGGCTTAGCAATGGTTAATGGCGAAGTCAGTAGAAGAGAATTAAGCCGTCCTGGAAACGTAAAAAGAAACAATCCATCACAATATTACTTGTTTTCATACCTTGAAGCCTTTAATTGTGATGCAGTGCTAATTAAAGGCATAAATTTTCTTCAATAAGGGATTCACATTTCATTTCCTTAGAGGTCTATGGCACACTCAAACAAATTTACTAATCTTAAGTACTATCAAAATTACTAATTTAAGTACTATCAAAAGCACGGTTTCCGCGTACGTACGTACGCGTACTTGATCTAAACGAGAACTGAGTGACTTCTTGTCTGATGCCATTCACATCGTTCATCTCCTGCCTAAAGAACAGAATATAGATTTTGGGCAAAAATAGACAACAAAGGAAGCCATAGGCGCTCAACAGAGTTGTTACACAATCCACAACCGTTACATACCATCCAACCATGGACAATTCTAACGGGTGATAACAAAGCAATGAGAACAAAAATATGTACATGGAAAAGGCGATTCGTTTGGCCTCGCTGAAATTTTCAGGAATCTTCCTAATCTTAAAGGCACAGAACGTGGACAAAAGCATTTGGAAGAAAATATAAAAACATGTTGCTAAGAATAGAGATTTTCCAACTGAGCTGGAGTATGCCTTGCATTCGTTAAAGGTGTAACGTTTCGGATAGATATGTTGCTTGTTAAAGGGTGGATTCAAAAGCAACCATGGCATCAACACCAACAACAGTGGAGCTAGAGATGCTATAACAATCCCAACTTGTGCTTTGTTTGAGAGAGAAGTGAATTCCAAACTGGTCGAAATGGGAACCTGAAAAGCACTGGAAATAAGCAACACCTTAACCAATAAGATGGAGAGACAGAAGTTATAGGTCAGATAACGTAACGGGTATATGATCTTGCAAATTGCATTGGTGGATATAAAGACATTTATGAATGCCAAAGACAATAAGGACAGAATTGCGAGTAAAAGAATAAGGCTTACTTCTCGATTGGAAGCCTTTACAATGGGACTATTCCAGAATTTATAGAGGGCTGCCAGACAAAGTAATGTAGCAACTACACCGAGCGTAGCAAAGGTAAGAATTACAATTCCACTCGCACTACTATAACTTATGTTCGCAGAGGGTAAAGCGACACACTCTGTCTTAGCTTGGTTAGACATTGTTCCGATGGGGCATTCACTGCAGCTTTCAGAACCAGCGGATGGGCTGATGGTTCCACCAAGACATGGAAGGCACTGCCAACAACAAGGAGAGGTAAAAGATTTCCTTGTTCCGGGAGGACATTGTTCCGAACATTCAGATTTGGGAGGGCGACCAGATGTAGTCGTCCAATTCAGGGCTTCATGAAAAATCAAGCGAGTTTTGTTTCTCTTTGAATTTTTCCATTCTCCTATCAGCACCATTTCTATGCTCTCGACATCTCCATTGGGTACTTTTTTAAACCTGAAAATGTCATAATAGGCCGAGCCCCTGTCACCAAATCGATCGAAGTTGATTTTTCCAGTTAGTCCGTGAAAACTGACTTTGCCAAGAAGCTTCTGCACGTCAAAACTATTGGCTACCTGCAATTTCGCCCGATCTTTGGTCTCGTTATAGCTAAAATTTTTATTGAAAATATGTAGTGCATGTGCCACGGTATATACTGCGTCGATGATGTTTGGAACATAGGAGCTGTAGATTTCTTCAATCAAGTCTTTAGTGCATTGCTCAATTTGGCGATGAACACACTTCTTGCTCTTCAAAAGCTTCTGTATTTCGCTTGTACTGTAATTCCATTCAGGAAAACTTTTACTGTCTCTCTCCCTGACCAATATATCTTTTAAATATTTCTTGAAACCAGAGTCGCTGAATTCATGGAATAGAAATCCCAAAGAGCTGTCGAGAATACCTTCTACTGGCAGTGTAGAAGTTAAGTGAACCTCGCTCAAAATCCACACACGTCCAGTTAGGTTTTGCCTCTGAACCTCTGCCAAAAACTTCGTTTGGTAATTTTTGTATAGCCATAAGATCACAACTCTGATATTACCCATCTGTTTAAGCTTTCGAACAATGTTCGAAATACTCAGAGTCAGACTTTCGAGCCGTATAAACTCCGTCAAAGCAATACAGAAAGTGCTTTTTCTTGAAGTACTTTCGCTAACTATTGCCCATACTCCATTTCGTCCATACGAATCATCAAGTCCAACGACAGCAACGTAACTCCAATTGAAGTGTGTAACCAAGTCAACCATCGCTTTTGCAAGAAAAGTATCCGAAGGCACTATTCGAAATAAATGATCATAGGTAAGGGAGCTAAGTTCTGCACTAGTAGCTGATCCGCTAATGCTCGAAACATTGAGCATCCGAAGAAATCCTGCAATAAATAGCGCAGTGCTCGATTCGCTTGGGCCTATTAAAGACATAATGGCTTTCTTTCTTGTGGCATTTTGGCTTAAATTGACACAAGTATCAATAGTCAAAAGTTTGTAAACAAGTCTTGCAGCTTTTGAAAGGTTTCCACAGTAATCCCTTACGTCATATCCAAGGGAAATGTTAGAAAGAAGACTTGTGTCATTGTTTATTCGTTCGATTGCGAAGATCATGGCCTGCATGCGACCAAGTTCTCTCAAATTTGTCTCTCCACATCGGCTCCCTGGCTTGTCTGGCGGCTGGTGCACGCTGAAAAGTCCGCCCAACATGATATCGCCTTCTCTGTATGGAGCCTGAACAGCAGCAAAGAAGCACAAGAAAAGAAACGACTGGTAGTGCAACGAACTCATAGCATTACTCGTCTTTTCTCCGTTTAACTGTTGGTGAACCCAACGCATAGACATTAGTCATTTGTACGTAGGTAAATTTTGCACATGTGGTAGTGATTAGTAACTTTTTATGTTAATTTAAATTCAGAAACCAAATTTGACTTTTCAAAAATCAACCAATCATTATGACTTCTTAGCTTTTAGCTTGGGGCATGGTGTTATTGATAAGCTATAAATTCATGGTGAACATATGTTAGGAGAGTATGAATTGAAAACGATCACGAACATTATAATGCTAGCTTTATGACGAAACAAATTAAAACCGTCGCTCTTAAGTTTTCATTTTCTCAAGGGTTTTTTTTCTCTCTCTCTCGATTTTTTTAATCAAGTTACCGTATATATTGAAAAGAGCGAAAGAAAAACAGAACTATACCTTTGTCTGCTTTGACGCAGTTGTTAAATGGAGCTGTTGCGTGGCGAATAAAGAAAAAAAACAATAATGTATTCGTATATATGTTAATTACAACGCAGCTTTTACAGATTAACACGCATTAAAAATTTTCAAATGGAAATACCACTCCAACTAAGTACTTAATTTTCTGCATTTGACGATAATTTGCATATTGATTCAAACTTACCTTCTTACCAACAGTGTAAAAGTATCTTCCAATAAAGTAAATAAATATTTCACTTAATGAGAAGACAGGAAATAAATTAGAACATCGTTCTGCCCAGATGTGACCATATGTTTTTCGAAATCATTTTTTTTTTTTGCCATCGGACAAGCTAGCTAGATCTTCCGCTGATCAAACCATCCCAGAAACATAACAAATAACCATTCCGTGACACTATGCGGTGTGTTGAAACCTCGATTTAGCTAGCATTTCGATGTTCGAGATCGTTTTAAATTCATACACTCCTAAAATACGGTCAGCATTAATTTATAGTTTATTAATTACACCATGCAGAGAGCTAAAAGCTCACAAGTCCTAATAATTGGCCGTTTTTTGTAGAGTAAAATTTTACAATAATTTGCATATTAATTCAGACTTACCTTCTTACCAAGAGGGTCTGGATGGGGTTTAGTGTCAAGTGTTATTTGGCCGTTTTTTTTAATGTTTAGTGTTAAAATGGGTAAATTTTTAATGTTAAGCGTTTAAAAAAAGTTTAGTGTTAAGTGTTAAAAGGTATTAGAACAGCGATTTCACTCAATAAAGGTCAATAAAAGTTTTACAGAGAAAGCAATAATATTAGAAAAAAGGACTAAGATTTGTTCAAACTTAGCTCTTATGATAAAGGCGTGCAAACTAGAAACAAAAGGAGAAGAGTCTGCGCAGAACTAACCGAACTGGTCAGCATGCATACTTTGTACTCATGCGCATAACTTCTGTAGACATTCTGTGGTCAGCGGTTTTTCAGCAGACTTCTGCATGCAAAATGGCCGCCTCGTCCGCATCGGCGGGAATTGCGGAAGTATTGATCAGCTTTTATAGATGTGGCGAGGAAGATGCTTTTGAGAGACATCGCAGTAGAATTCCAATCGGTATAGACCAAAGAAATCTAACGGACGCCAGGAAGCATATGATCAACTTTCTTGGTATTTCGCAAATGGCTACGTCGCTGGGTATGGGAAATTTCGAGCTGAAACTGTACCGGCTGGCCAGGAGTGCTCACGGGAAAACGAAGAATTTACGTATCCTTACGCAACAACAGTGGGAGATGGAAGTGCCACTCCTTGTTTCTGACGAAACCCAAAGTGAACTCAATAGTAAGTAGACAACTGATCTGTCGAATTCATAAAGTGCAGGAAAAAGTTTTGAACTAATGATAAATATAACCACAACATATGTATTAGAAAATTGGGGGTTACAAATTATCCTTATTCGATCTTAGAAAAGGATAATTACTTTGAAGGTTATAAGTATGAAATACTAAAGTAAAATTTCCTCTTTTTCATCTTTTTTAAGTACATGTGGTACAGAAAATAATTAATTGGTCAGACAAGAAAATGGTGCTTGTACCGGGTGTGAAGCAAACTCCTAAAGAACCTCTTGGTACTTCAACAAGTTCTTCAGAAGATAAAGATCCAGAAATTGCCATCTTAGACAATGAGCCTGGAGCATCAGATTCTGCGAGAAATAGAAGTAGGAAAAGAAGACAAGAATGTCTGGAAGATAAAGAACTAGTTCAAAATATTTTGCGAGACAATAAAGTTATGAGAAATGTGCGTCAGAGGCATGAATTAGATGAGCTTCAAGCAGGTAAATTTTAATGAAATAGGTGGTTTTTGAATTTCTACTTTTACTTGTACTTTTACCTTTACTTATGTGTTTACTATTATCTCGCTTAGACTTAGGGAAGCTTGCTGGAAGCTCAGCTCTTAATGAGGTGAAATTTACTTGTGGAGTCTGCAAGAAACCGTATTTTATCAGTACTAAGTCCAGCAGAACCACCCAAGGGAAGGTCAATTACTTCAAAATCAGTAAGTTTAAACAAATATTTTTAATTTACCAATATCATTACTGCAGATCACATGTTTCAGTACTCAGAATAAGAAAAAATAATAATTCCGAGTGTATTTAGGTGATAGTAACTCTGGTCTTTTGTATTCAGCTGATCTTCTAAAAGACTAATGAATGTTTATAATTAAGTTGAACTTCCCTTATCACTTTTTCAATAATCCCTATGGTGGAGAAATGTAAACCTAGGAATACACTGTTCACCTTTGCTAAAAATTTGTCCTTTGTAGCACATTTCAATAAGTGCCAAAGAAATTACGAGAAAGCACAGCGTTTAGTGAAAAACAACCACACCCTGGACAGCCTTTGGAAAAAAGGAAATTGTGAACGACTTTCTTCAGCATCAAGCAGCAATTCCATGTCACAAGATGAGCAGGAGGACTTTACTGGTGCTGATGCCATAGAAACAGGCTCTGACAAGTAAAAACCTTACTGAAGAATATATTGTTGTATAAAAGAACTTTTTTTTTGGATGAAAATCTAGATTATTATAGAACTCATGCATAGACATGTCATTACCATGTACCAATAGATAATATTTGTTGTACACACAAAGATTGTTTAGCTTTTTCCTTAGATCTCAAAACCAATGTCTTTGACCAGCATTTGTAGTACTGCTGAGAGAGTCTTAATGCATAGTTTTGTTGATATTTTGAACTTAATGAAATAAAGCAGTTTATGTTTTTCAAATTGATGTTTGCACGTGTGTTTCATGTGTAAGAAGAAAATCATATTTTGCCAAAATATAATTGCATGGCAGTTAGCAAATAGTGGAACTACTAAAAACAATTGGCATTTGTATCATGATACCAAAAATCCATTACAAAGCTTAATATCTGGAGCATTCTCCATTGCTTGTAGTGTCCCAATGTTATATATGTTCTTCTTTGTTCCCCTTTTGAAATTCCTGATACTGGCTGATACTGTGAACACAATGAACAATGACCAGAAATGAATCTATATGTTGCGAAAACTATAATACATGTATGTGCTAATTTCCTTATACAGTGATAGTGTTTACCTAAACGAAGATTTGGAAGAATCCGCAGACTTGTCTCAAAGCCATGACGAGACTGTCAGTTCATGTATTGAATCATGGGATGAAGAAACACATTGTGCTTTTGATGAAGCTGGCTATGTTGACCAGACAGATTCAACACAGGATCCGGAGGGTCATGTGATAAGCGATGCGAACGTGGATGATGACTTGACATGTTTTAACTTGTGAGTGTTTATGTAACTAGAAAGATGGAGGACAGATGGTCCATTTGTGTTTGATCTTGTAGTTTCTATTGGCTCCAACTCTAAGCTTGCGAGTTTTGTTGAGGTTGCTTACGTAATGGGGAAATGTTGTTGCACTATAATTTATGAGAATTGACAAATTGTTAGCATTGGTCTGTGTGTGGTCTTTGCGCATTTAGACGTTTGTGCACGTTTATTCTTCTAGGTGTGTGGAGAATGCCCATCCAGTTGCTATTAAACTCAACCAACTTCTTGAGAAAGGAAAGATCCCGGAAGACTGTCTCTACTACAAATTTATTGACAACACTACATCTTTCGCTCTAGTTGATCCTAAGTCTGCTTCAGATTTCACATGGGACCGAGATGTGTGGGAGTTTTTTGACACTATCAAGTATCTCGGAGGTAGTCGGACACGAAATTTTGTGAGAGGGCCTGGTTTCTTTGGAACTGGGAGAGGGGGACTGAAAGAATTCAACACATTTTCTGATTTCAATCTTTGCGGTCCGTCAACAAATTCGTCAAAACGCTTTCAAGCTGGTTATACTACAGCCAGTGGGGTGATAAAACCGCATCTATTGTCCTTGTATTCCTTTGCCTTCAATCGACAAACTGATTTGCCAGCGCTTGTTTCTACAGACAAGTTGAACGTTATACCATTGTCACAAGCTATTGATGGAACTGCATTTAAACCTGGCCTAGAATATGATTCACTTCAGAAAATGGTGGTTGGGCTAACAACTCAAATAGACCAAAATAATTTCAGCAGCAACTCCATTTCTGATCCTGAGGAAATAAAAAAAAAGCTCTTAACAAGCGCCGAAGTGGTCGTAGGTACATCACTGGACAACGGCTCATCAATTCCAGTTGGTGTGTACTATCGCCCCAAATCAGTAACTGGTGAAGAAATCCTCAAATCTATACAAGACACAGCTAAGACCTTGCAAATTTGCCAAATGTGTTTGAAGCTCCAGGCGTCTGTAAGTCAAATTGTATCAAATGACATGCCCTCTTGCTTTAGCAGCTGTGATGAGTGTCTTAAGCTCAAATCTGTTTGCTCAGCCTGTAAACAAAATGGCCAGGTCTCACACATTCCTTCCTTAAGGGCTTGTAACCGGTGTTTAGAAAAAGGACTAAAGTGTAACAGGTTTCTTGCTGCAACGGTAATTACCGATTGTGAAGAGTGTAACAAGAAGGCGTTGTCAAATCTACACTCTATGGCCGAAGATGGTACATTACCTATTGAACTTTCGCTTCTTGTCGCCCTGCCAGATGTGGTTCATCTTGGCAAGAGTATGAAATGCAGCTGGGCCAACTGGTTCATTGATCTTGAGGGCGCGAAGAGTAGTCTAGTTCTAATTCGAACACTCCGCAATTCTGCTGGCCCTGCTCTACGTAAGAAGTTACGAAAAATGCTGACCCTGGACTGCGTAAGGAATAAAGATCGGATGGCTGTAGAACCTATCGTGCGCCTTACTAGAACCTCGGTACTAGAGGTACTGAGAGGAATAAGTTTGGTCGTCCACACAATAGTTCCAGAAAAGTATCGCTTTTGGAAATCCAATCAGAGTGCGATTGAAAGTGGGGCTCAAGGAAAAGTGCTTGTGTTAGACTATGACTTCGAATCTCAAGAGGCTCGTCTCGTGGAATTACGTCTGCATCAACCAGTTGATGTTCACGTTCGGAAAGAGACATTCAAGGATGCAAGGGACCTTTGTTTTACCAGTGGTATAGTTTTCGTTTCTGAAAGAGGATCTGGGGCAATCCGTGTTATTGACTTGGAAGGCAAAGTACGTTTAAAGCCGGAGGGCCTGAAATCGCGAGCAGAACTACTTTCACAGCTGAGTCGTTTTAGTCTATCACAGGATGGCACAGTGCCAATTCTTCGGAAGCGACTCGCGACACATTTAAAAGCTTTAGCTGCACAAGTTAAGAACCCAGAAATCATCCAGCTTAACACGCCTTTAGTAAAACCAACGTCAATTTGTGTGGCGAGTACAGACATCCTTTTGTGTGCGGATGACGAGCACCAAAGGATTATTCAGTTGGAAGTAAGCTGCAATGGAGTTGCTGTCGTTGGTACTAGCATGCGAGAAATACATTATCCCGATGGCGTTTCCAGTATTGAATCTCTTTGTGTGTGGAGAGGGTCCGCATACTTGGCTGCATCTGGTAATGCAGGTGGGTTATACGATTGTGACCTGGCAAATTCAAACGTCAAACAGCTCCTGCAGAATTCGTCCGATTCATGCAGTGAAATCAAGAGGCAGTGTCATTATGGCGACGTAATTGTGTTCACTGACATCGTAGATAGGAAAGTCAAGACCTTCGATCCGAAAACCTCAACTGTTAAAACATTGATGGGCACTGGAAAAGAAGGAACTAATGATGGAATTGGTGAAACCTGTACCTTTGCGCAAGTCCACGGAATATGCAGTTTCCAGAATACTATATTGGTGTCGGACGTAGCTGCTGGAACGGTAAAAATAGTTTCACCGCTTACTGGGACAGTGTCCTTTCTTCAGGCCCTTGGGAAGCTGTACGACAGTTTTGGAATTGGTGCTCATACCGTAGACGCAGTATCACTATCCCTTCAAGATGCTGTGAACAATGTTTCATCAGTGAACGAATATATTAAAAGCACAGTTGCTACAGTTAAACAGCACTACAACATGAAAGAAGCAGCAGCAACAAATTGTCCCCAAGGAACTGTGTCAAAGAAAACTCAAGTCTCCTTAGAACTCCTTGAACAAGGTATGGCACGACTGCAAAATAACTTGAAGAACATAAATGAGGATTATGTTGGTGACGTTGACCTCCGTACATTACTGACCACTATAGTTGAAAACCTTCATGCAGTCTCCCACTTCAAAAACGAGACTTTTACAGCTTTACAGTATGCTCGAGACTTTGGAACAATTGCAAAAGAATCATTAAAAAGAACAACAAAATGGAGTGCCAAATACTTTACACATGACAAATCGTTTTATCCAGTTCCAACATCTAGTATGGAGTTGGCAGATGTTGAAGTGATGAAGTCTCCAACAGCTGCAAGGATAGATCCTCTAATTGAAGTAGCGATGAAGGAGTTGGTGGATAAATTTCGTCCCGTGAGGCAGAGAACAGTGCGCAGTGAAACCACAAAAGACAAAGCCGGAGCTCTCCCACCAGCAGTGTATTACACTCAACCTCCTCATACCAAAGTAATGTTCCACAACGACCCAACTGTTGAAGGAGAAGTAATGGAACAAGTTACTCCGCATATCATAGATGACGATGGGGACTCGCACGCACCCAGTATCACGTTTGTGGACGATAGCACTATTGAAATAGTTGCTGTTGTTGAAGTGCCAGATCAAGAGGATGAATACGACACCGACTCAGGCACCGATGTGGATGATGACGATCACGACTCCTACCCCCACACAACAACACTCACCAGGTCCGGGCGCGCCATTCGCGCTCATTTTCGCCTTGACTTGTAGAGTTTGCACTATCGGGTCTGCGCATATACATTACCTTGTGATGAATCTGTGATCAAGAGTTAATTGCATAACAACCCGTAAATAGCGCTACCTTGGACCCTGGAAAGCAAACGATGAAGAGGTAGACCTAAAGAGACTTGGAGACAAACCGTAAAGAAGGAAAGGGGGAGTTAAGATTCAAGGCTTGCTTGCTGCTAATACATGTGCTAAGAAACAAGAGGATGGCTAGTGAGGATGCAACAGCCTTTTCCCGGTAGGTAAAAGGAGCATGATGATGATTAAATAAACAAATTGTTCAAATGAAAGTTTGCGAAAGTGTGATAACGACAGAGGAAAATTTTAATTGTTAAGCATAATGTACCCTTCTGCAGAGTAATAGTCTCCAATAATTTTCCATGATAGAGACATAAACAATGAACAACACAAAATTGCAATCAAAATGACACAGTATGTACATCAATTGTAGCTGATTCCATATTGAATGCCCGCGTTTATCGTTATCAGTATCTGGCGCATTTTTTAGCCGTTTCTCGTTACATTTGTGTTTCAGAGAATTTTTTAGTGTTAGATGTTAAACAGCCCAAAATTTTAATGTTTGATGTTATAGAAGGTAAAATTTTAGTGTTTAGTGTTTTCGAGATACCCCCATCCAGACCCTCTACCAACAATCTAAAAGTAACTTCCATTAAAATAATAAATATTTCACTAAATGATAAGACAGGAAGTTAATTGGAACATCAGATGTCACCATATGTTTTTCGAAACCATATTTTCTTATTTGCCATCGAAGAAGCTAGCTAGACTTTCCGCTGATCAAACCATCCCAGAAACATAACAAATAACCATTCCGTAACACTATGTAGAGTTTTGAGACCTCGATGCGAGTTCGAGATCGTTTTAAATTTATTCAGTCCTAATATATGGTCACTATTAATTTATAGTTTATAAATTAAACCAGCGAACTAGAAGCTCACAAGTCATAGTAATTGGCTGTTTTTCGTCGAGTAAAATTTGGTTTCTGATTTGAAATTAGCATAAAAAGTTACTGATCATGGGCCACTTCGGCCTCTATAAAGCCATTCTGCTTGGAATTCTCGTAGTTGCCCTTCTCTAGAGGATGATTTTCACATAGTGCATACTTTCAGCAGCAGTTTGCACAAGGATATGAATTGAGTTCTTTATTAGATGTATGTTAATTCCTCAATGACATGAAATGTGCCAAGCCATGCCGTAGACGCGTCTTCTATGTCCCACATATTACTTTACAATGTAGGCCACTAATCAACTTGAAGGAGTTACTTGTTTATTTTTTGCCCTCTTAATATTTGATTTCACCCTGGGTAGGTGGCGGCTTTTTTTGGGATTGCATTGACGAAAGGAGACAAAAATGGACTAAAAAGTGAACCAACATTCAAAAAACAAGACACATAAAACCAGCCAACAGAATATAGGGTTACAGGAATCAACCGCTCTTATGCTCAAAAAGCAATATCGAACTGAACCACAAACATGAAGCACACCTGGAAACAGGAATTTTAAAAACAAGACGTGCTCCGATGAGAATATTTCAGTACATTTCCATCTTCGTTGTATCCTACGCTATTTAGGCTAGTAACAAAAAATGATCATAGAAATAATTTACATGACATAATACGTATCAATAAATAGGAATTAGTGGTATTCAAAAGTCTTCGGTGCCCTTCGTTCTACAGGTAGTAACGTTTTGTAAAAGTACAGATGGTCCGATTTGTGCCTTAGGGAGTAGGGACAGGTATCGTCTAATCGTGTTAGTGGAGCAGGATGAAGAGGCTGGTTTAAGTCCTTCATTTTGCACATATACTCTTTACACATATCTTATCTCTTCTACACGCAAGGGTCTCCACCCCCGTACTAACTCGAGGGCATCTGAGTAGCTATCAGCACACGGGAAAATTATCTTAAGCGCCCTTTTCCGTATGGATTCAATTTTGCTGACAGATAACCTGGAATGGATTGCCACACAGGCACGGCGTACTCTAGAACAGATCTAACAGAGCTTGTAGAGGCCTTTAACATGCTACCATGATCAACGCCGGCTTGACGTAGAATACGTAGGGAGTAGAACCTCTCGAAAGCTTTTTTTATAATTATATGTAGTCAACATGACTATTCCGCCTAAGGTCGTTATCGAAAAATAATCCTAGAATTTTGTAAGTCGATACACGTTCTGTATCGTTGTTGCCTACAAGTAATGGTATGAGAGTAAAGTTAGGATATAACACAAGGTTAATAAACATCTCTTTACATTTAATAGGGTTTAGTCTCATGTTGTGATCCATAGAAAAATTCTGAACGTCAGATACGGTCGAATTGAGCAGACTGATAGAGTTCCTGGGTAGCAATTCTATGACAGACGTGTCATCCACAAACTTGACTCTCGGGTGCCAATCTGCTAAAGGATTGTTTGTCATTAGTGTGAAAAGTATCACTCCTAGTTTAGTTTCCTGAGGCACACTTCCCTTGAGGAATTTCCAATCTGATAATGCTGACCCTATTCTTACAGCCTGCTGTCTGTCTGTTACGCAGCAATCCAACTGATGAGCGCGGGATCAACCTCTAGTTTTCGCAACTCAGTCATTAAGATGTTATGGTCAATTAGATCAAAGCCTTTCGAAAAGTCAGCGAAGAAGACCCAGGCACTTTGAAATTTGTTTTCCTTAAGGACGTAGTCGTGGTCTTTAAGAGAAATATCAGTAGAAACGCGGAAAATTTTGGCGGCAAGTTCGTTTATGTTGTCATCGCTAGCGTCTTGTTTTCTCCCCTCATTCGACCTTTTTCGCGTTGATTTGGACTTCTTCGGACTGTAGGCTGATTAAATATTGTTGGAACCGTGCCACGTGCTGGCCTTTTAATTCCAGAAAGTGTCTTCACGATTTTTTTAGTCTCGTAGTGTTTGGAGCATACATGCAAGTTCTTTATGGACGTGAACTCCTTATCAACGCGACGACCGAAGGCACTCCATTTCTTTCTTAGTCTCTCTTCGCCTGGAAACTAGAAAAAGTTGAGGTCCGGCCTTGTTTAGAGTTATTTTTGCGCACAGGGATGGCACAAAACTTCACATTCGACTTACAGTCACTCCGATCTTGCTTTCAAAATAAGCGCATATTACCCTCGGCCTCGGCTTGGTGCTGACAGTTAGTTACCAGACTATCTCGCACAAAAAATTCGAAACTAGCCTTTTACAACGCAATTTTTTACAGATAATCACGCTTTAAAAATTTTCAAATGCAAATACCACTCCAACTAAGCAGAACTTATCTTTCTGAACTTGACAATAACTTGCATATTAATTCAAACGTACCTTCTTACCAAGAGGGTCTCAATTGGGTTACCCGTTAGCCGAAAATGGCCAAAAATGCAAAGGGTCACTGATTCGCTCCTGTCATTGAAGCGGCTACTTTAATTTGAAGTAAATTTTTATTTTCAGTCGAACTGATTTTTGCGTACATGGAATTTATTTTGCACTCGTAATAGAAGACGTAGTCAACTGAACAAATAAACTAATATTACAAAGAAGGTTATTACACATGTCAATTTCAGTTGAAGCGACGGGCCAATATTATACTTAAAATTTGTGTTCCATATGCGGCTAGTAAGCTTCGATGTACGATCGGTGGTGACACTTTTGAAATGTAGTTGCGTAAAGAACTTCTCGATTTTTAATAAACTAGTCGCCTGATCTATATTTGGCATGTTGCGCTAAAATAATTAAATATTCACACAAAAAAATGACAAACGGCTTGAAAAATGCAAATTAGTCACTCAATTATTCAGCGCACACTGACAATTTGTCTTCCTCAACCGCAATGCTTCCTTTCTTAGCCATCGGGGAAGCAAAACCTCCGACCAAATAAGCCATCCTGCCAACATAACAAGGAACGATCCATACTAGTATTTCCTGGTGATTTTTATCAAAAGTCAAGTAATAAATGTATTTGCAAAATAGTGTCAGTTAATAAAATGAATTTTCCTCCACCATAGATTCCATTTTTTATTTACGTGCACGAAAAAGTCTTTCACACACTCAAAATAACAAAATTATTTTAAGGAAGCTCATTTTAAGATTCAGCTTCTTGATTAGAACTATCAAAAGCAGGGTTTACGCGTACACAAATTGAATGAACTAAACGAGTGCTGGGCGACTTCTTGTCTGATGCTATTCGCATCCTTCATCTCCCTCGCAAATCATGCACAAAATGTCTTCCTTTTTTTTCCTTTTTTTTTTTTTTCAGACCTTATTTTCGTTTCTGCTTAGGTAGCTAGTGTTCATTGCAGCGAAGATCGCTCTCATCTCATGCAGTTTAATTATCTAAGCATCTGCCCAGAGGCTTGGCTAAACTTGGAAACATCATCGCGGAGACAAAGTGTTTCCTAATTAGCCGTGCAAGAAGCTTACGTTGCGGAAATAAGTTTTGCTGCTAAGAAAACAAAACACGGCTTTTGCCTCAGGTCACAAATTTTCTTTGCTTCCAGTCCCGAAATAGGAAATGAAATGGATGGACGAGGGTATTAAAAGACTCTTTGCCTTGTGTGAGGGCAGGGCTAATATGTGGAAAGGAGTCCATGAATGGGGATAACAAAGAATAGGCTTAAAGTCCAATCCCAGCACAGATGCCAAAGAAATAGTCAATCATGAGGGAAGATTAAAGATGCAAAATGTCGGTTTATTATTCCGCGCTTTCGTTGCTCTTTGTTTTCTTAAATAATGTTTCCTTCCGTGCCATTAAGGAAGCAAATTTAAAATTCCCGACACCTAAGCCATCCTAAAACATAAAAAGAAACAATCCATGGCAACTTTAAGTGTTTTTATGGCTTGAAGCTTATATTTGTAATGCAGTGCTAATTAAAAGTTAAAATTTTCTTCAATATTGGATTCAAATTTCATTTACTTTGAGGTCTATGGCACACTTGAATAAAATTACCGATCTTAAAAAAGCTTATTGTACAATTCAGCTCGCTAATTTGAACTATCAAAAGTACGGTTTACACGTACACAACCTGAAGTAAACGAGAACTGAGTGACTTCTTGTCTTATGCCATTCACATCGTTTATCTCTTGCCTAAAGAACAGAATGTACATTTTGGGCAAAAATAGACAACAAAGGAAGCCATAGGCGCTCAACAGAGTTGTTACACAGTCCACAACCGTTACATACCATCCATTCAAGGACAATTCTACCGGGTGATAACAAAGCAACGAGAACAAAAATATGTACATGGAAAAGGCGATTCGTTTGGCCTCGCTGAAATTTTCAGGAATCTTCCTAATCTTAAAGGCACAGACCGAGGACACCAGCATTTGGAAGAAGATATAAAAGCATGTTGCCAGGAATAGAGATTTTCCAACTGAGCTAGAGTATGCCTTGCATTCGTTAAAGGTGTAACGTTTCGGATAGATATGTTGAAAGTTGAAGGGTGGATCCAAAAGCAACCATGGCATCAACACCGACAACAGTGGAGCTAGAAATGCTATAACAATCCCAACCTGTGCTTTGTTTGGAAGAGAAGTGAGTTCCAAACTGGTCATAATGGGAACCTGAAAAGCACAGGAAATAAGCAACACCTTTACCAATAATGTGGAGAGACAGATGTTATAGGTCAAATAACGTAACGGGTATATGATCATGCAAATTGTATTTGTGGTTTTAAAGACATCAATATATACCAGAGAGAATAATGCAAGAATTGTAAGTAAAAGGAAAAGGCTAAGCTCCCTATTAGATGCCTTGACGATGGGACTATTCCAGAATTTGTAGAGGGCAGCCAGACAAAACAATGTGACAACTACTCCGAGGGTGCCAAACGTTAGAATCACAATTCCGGTTATATTCGTATAGCTTATGTTGGCAGAGGGTAAGGCGACACACTCTGTATTCGCAGGGTTAGATATTGTTCCGTTGGGACATTCTCTGCAGCTTTCAGAACCAGCAGATGAGCTGATGGTTTCACCAAGGCACGGAAGGCACTGCCAACAACAAGGTGAGGTAGAAGATTTCCTTGTTCCAGGAGGACACTGTTCCGAACATTCTGATTTCGGAGGGCGACCAGATTTAGTCGTCCAATTCAGGGCTTCATGAAAAATCAAGCGAGTTTCGTTTTTCTGTGAATTTTTCCATTCTCCTATCAGCACCATTTTTACACTCTCCACATCTCCATTGGGTACATTTTTAAAGCTGAAAATGTCATAATACGCTGAGCTCCTGTCGCCAAATCGATCGAACTTGATTTTTCCAGTTAGTCCGTCAAAACTGACGCGGCCAAGAAGTTTCTGCACGTCAAAACTATTGGTTATCTGCAGTTTCGCCCGATCTTTGGTCTCATCATAGCTAAAATTTCGATTGAAAATATCTAGTGCGTGTGCCACGGCATATACGGCGTCAATGATGTACGGAACATAGGAGCTGTAGATTTCTTTAATCAACTCGTTAGAGCACTGCTCAATTTGGCGATGAACACACTTCATGTTCTTCAAGAACTTCCATTTTTCGCTTGTAATGTGGTTCCATTCAGAAAAACTTCTATCGTCTTTCTCCTTGACCAATATTTCTTTTAAATATTCCTTGAAGCCAGAGTCGCTGAATTTATGGAATTGAAATCCTAAAGAGCTCTCCAGAATACCTTTTACTGGCAGTGTAGAAGTTAAATGAATCTCACTCAAAATCCACACACGTCCAGTTAGGTTTTGCCTCTGAACCTCTGCCAAAAACTCCGTTTGGTAATTCTCGTATAACCATAAGATCACAACTTTGACATTGTCCATCTGTTTAAGCTTTTTAACTATGTTCCCAACACTCAGATGCAGACTTTCGAGGCGTATAAACTCCGTCAAAGCAATACAGAACGAGCTCTTCCTTGACGAACTTTCGCTAACCACTGCCCATGCTCCACTTCTTCCATACGAATCATCTTGTCCAACCACAGCAACATAACCCCAGTTAAAGTGCGTAATTAAGTCAACCATCGCTTTTGCAAGAAACTTGTCCGAAGGCACTGTTCGATATAAATGTTTATAGGTAAAAGAGCTAAGCTCCGTACTGGTTGCTGTTCCAGTTATGCTCGAAACATTGAGCATCCGAAGAAATCCACCAATGAATAGCGCTGTTCTTGATTCGTTTGGGCCTATTAAAGAAATGATGGCTTTCTTTCTTGGGGCATTTTGGCTTAAATTGACGCAAGAATCAACGGTCAGTAGTTGATAAATGAGTCCCGCAGCTTTTGAGAGGTTTCCACCGTAATCCCTTATGTCATATCCTAGGGAAATGTTCGAAAGAAGACTTGTGTCATTGTTTATTCGTTCGATTGCGAAGATCATGGCCTGCATGCGACCAAGTCCTCTCAAATATATCTCTTCAAATTGCGACCCTGGCCAGTATGGCACCTGGTGCACGCTAAAAAGTCCGCCCAACATGATATCGCCTTCTCTGTATTGAGCCTGAACGGCAGCATAGAAGCACAGGAACAGAAACAAATGGTAGTGCAACGAACTCATAGCAATACTCTTCTTTTCTCCGTTTACTTGTTGGTGAACCAAACGCGGAAACGTTAGTTATTTGTTCGTAGGTGTATTTTGCAGATATGATAGTGATAAGTTTGACAGTTTGACGCAATTGTTAAATGCAGCTGTTGCGTGG